TGATGTCCGTTTTCCAGCATTCGTACGTCGTTAATATTTTTAAAATATTTATGTTGTATTAAATACATTATAGCTTTTTTTTTTTAACTTTAAAGATGACTTGCTTGTAAATCATTTCGAGGGAAAAAAAAACTCTTTCAACATTTCATCATAAATTTTAATGTACTAGCAGATCCTTATATTCACAAATTTCCCCAAGAATCTATTGTAGGTACATGTTGATGAAATTCCAAACTAGTGTGTACACCAATAAACATTTCAAATTGGAATTTTGGGTCTAAATTTTTATATCGCAGATTTTGACGATGACATTATCCATTATTACGTCCCATATGGGTATAACGTTAACGATATTATATCGAGCTAAAATTTCCTTTATATTTTTCATTAAAAAAAATTCTCATTTAAAATTTTTAAGCACTTGTTTTTATTTTTATCGCATTCTTTGACGATCGTCTTATTGCCCAGTCACTTTTTCGCGCGAATGATAATACATATTTTATTTTTTAATTTGTATACATGCTGCACTTACTTTGACCGCAACGATGTGTATTACTTCTTTACGAGCGTGCACTACTGCTGCACCTAGTTTTTTTTTTTTTTTTTTTTCCTTCAAAGACCACTCTTTTTTCATTAAAATTACGTAATGTAAAAAAACTGTAAACAAAATAAAAAATATTTTTCGGAATCGCCATTACATCTTATTAAATAACGTATGAACACGAATTTGTAATGAATTAAAACTAAAGTCCTATAGTAAAATGGGAAAAAAATCCAAGAAAGACTATTCAAGATACGTACCCATCGTTTGTACATATGTCCCGCGGCGCATGTATGTACAATTTAAAACTTACCTCGTAACGCGAAATGACTCATTCGCACGCGTGTACACTAAACTATTAGATTTTCTTTGCCTCACACAAGCGTATCTCTCGTCGATGCCCTACTTTTTTTTTGACTCTCGCCGTCACTATAGAGAGCAATTGCGCTGATTTCCAAACTCCAAAGCTACTCGCTTTTCGTATCTCAAAAAACAAAAAAAGGAAAAAAAATGTTTTTTTTTTTTTTTTTCATACGCGCGATATAACTAGCATACGCGATTTGCATTAATACAACTCACGTCTCGCGTTTAAAGATCGATCGCTCTTTTTACACTTTCGAATTTAACGACGTATCGACATTTCGGTCGCGGCCCATTGTACTTGCTTTTTTTTGCGTAACTCACTTTGAACTACATTATTTTTTACTTCCGCGATCGGAAACAACGATTGAATAAATATCGTGGTAATTATAACATACGTGCACGTTCGGCTAATCTATACATCACGAATTCCATCACACATACGCACATTATTATACCTTACAATATCATTCACACAACTATTACGTAACATACATATACACACTGAAATACCATCGAGTAGTATAAAAAAAGCAGTTTTAATTTAAAATATAACATGTATTATTCCGTTTTTTTTTTTTTTTTTTTTTTTTTTTTTTTTACAAGGGGAAAAAACCCCCCCAAAACTTTTTCGGGTTTCGCGGGGGGGTTTTTTTTTTTTTTTTTTTTAACTTGCACGTTATATACNATATCATTCACACAACTATTACGTAACATACATATACACACTGAAATACCATCGAGTAGTATAAAAAAAGCAGTTTTAATTTAAAATATAACATGTATTATTCCGTTTTTTTTTTTTTTTTTTTTTTTTCTTAATCGGGCAGTGTGTGTTTTCAGTACGCAAAAAATGTACAAATAACAGTTATCCCATGCACGTGTACCGTAAAGTCTTGGAATGCTGCTTGAAACACGTTGGCACATCGAACTCGTTAAAAAAAAAAAAACAAAAAAAAAATCTCTGTATTTGATATTAATCAACGAATCCGTGAATAATGTGTTAAAATGCCTTCTGAAATAGGAATCTTTTGGTTGCATCGACCATCGTACTTTGTCGATACTCCTATACATCGTAACAAATGTAACAATAATCGTCGTGTCTCTCTTGCTCTTTGGTAACGATGAAAAAAAAAAAAAAAAAGAAAAGTCTACAAATCCTTGTAATCCTCGGCCTTGAGCTCACCCGGTTGCAGCTCGTCCTCCTCGTTCCTGGTCTCGTCGTTGAGGGCAACGCTCTCCTCGTCGCACTGCTCGCTCATCTCTGCGGCCGAGGGTATTGTGGCGAGCAGCCTGACGGCCAGCCGGCCGGGCGACCCCGGCTCGTCCGGCTCCTGTATGGCCAGCTGCCTCGTGAGCCTCGGCTTGCTCCGGGTCGACCTGAGACTGCTGACCTCGAGACTGGCGCTCGAGCGCGACACACCCCAGGACCTCGTGCTCGCCGTGGTGCCCGAGCCCGAGGAGTCGTTGCGCGACGAGCTGTGGTTCGAGTCCTGGGACGGTTTGCGCGCCATCAGCCACGACGTGGCCCGCCTCTTTGGGTCGAGGAGCCTCAGGGGCACGCCGCACGGGTGGTGGTTCTGCCGCCAAGAGTCGGACCTCGAGGACGAGTAGTTCTCGCTCGACGACATGGACGAGGCGCGCTTGGTCTGCTTCTGCTGTTGGGCCATCTCGGCTGTCGGGTAGCCGTAAACCTCGCCACCGGCGCCCCGGTGCTGCCTCTGGCTCTTGGAGCACGGCCAGGCAATCTTGGTCTGCCACCAGCGCACTGCACCGCTCGTCGTCGCCATCGTCGTCGTCGTAGTCGTGGCCGTCGACTGGTTGCGAGCCAGGACCACCCTACTGGCACCGCTGATGTTGACGTTGTTGTTGTTGTTGTTGTGGCACGGACAACTCGCCTGGTGGTAGATGTTCACCTATACGGGAAATCAAAAACAAATACGTGTACACAAACACACAACTCGTATACACCATTTATATATATGTTGTACAAATACCTGCTGGTGCAGGTGATGATGGTGGTGGTGGTGGTGGTGGAGCTCGCGCGAGCCCGATCTGTCGAGGAGGCTGTTGGTGTTGGCCGGGGTCAGCCGTTGGCTAAAGTTCGAGCTGTGCCTGCACCTGCCGATGCCCCTCGTGACCCTCGACTCCTCGATGGCCTTGCATATGAGGACGCAGTCCTTTTTGAATTGTTTGGTGAGTATGGCGTAGAGAAAGGGATTGCAGCACGAGTTGAGGGGCAGGACGAAGACGGCAAAGATCTTGGCTTGCTCGAGGGTGACGAGCTCGAGGCCAAAGGCCGCGGTGAGGGAGAAAAAGGCGATGGGGGACCAGCAGAGAAAATCCGTAAACACGAGCAGCGCCATGCGCTTGGCTATCCGCGAGTCGTTGGAGTTCCAGGCTTGGGAGCCCCTTATGGCGCAATACATCTTTAAATAACAGCCCATGAGTATGAGGAAAGCCATGCCGTTGACGAGCATGAGAAACACGACGTAAACGAGGGATGGAGCGCCCGTAGTTTCAAAGGGCAGGCATATGGCGAATTTGCGATAATCCGAGATCCCGAGGAGGGGCAGCCCGGCCATGCAGAGGCCAAAGAGCCAGCCGAGGGTCATTATACAGCCGGCGTGGCGAAGGGACAGCCGCTTGTTCAGGTGCATCGCGTGGGTTATCGCGTAGTTGCGCTCCAGGGTTATCACGGCCAGGGTGTAGACGCTCAGCTCGGAGCTGAGGACCCCGAGGAAACCGGCTACCTGGCAACCCAAGGACATCTGCCAACGTATCGCGTACTTGCGAAACGCCCCCTGCGTCGAGGCGTCAACCACAGCGAGCAGACCTGTTATTGTTTATTGTGGATCATCAGGATGTACTCCATATAATATATGTTATTAATTTGCTTGCCTAGATAAATGCCCATGAAAAAGTCGGCAGCCGCGAGGTTGCAGACCAGAAACCTCGGCACGTCGAGTTTGCTCCTCGAGAACACGAGGACAAAGATGACGGTGGCGTTGCCCAGGAGGGCCAAGAGAAAGACTATCCAGACCCCGCAGCGCAGCGTCCACCAGTCGAACAGATCCTCGCAAGGTAGAAAGGGACCTGGAGAGCGTTTTTTTTTTTTTTTTTTTTTCATTCGCGTGAGTGGCGCTCTTTTTGTGAATGGTCGCTATAGCTCGGGGAGCCTCGGCGTGCGGTCGGTGCGAGAATTCNGACCCCGCAGCGCAGCGTCCACCAGTCGAACAGATCCTCGCAAGGTAGAAAGGGACCTGGAGAGCGTTTTTTTTTTTTTTTTTTTTTACCAAACCAAGTATATGTGTACATGTATGTGCAAGAGTGGCAGTATAACGTATAGGTACCAGGCTGCGGTAGACACTTGACGGGCGAGCGGGGAACTTTGAGCGGGACGGTAGTCGTCGCCAGGCCGTTTTGGTCCTCGAAGTACTCGTCGATGTAGGCGCCCATGTTGCCGGGGTACGTGAAATCCGTGCCAAACTTGTCCCACAGCTCGTTTATCTTGTCCCCGAATTTGTCGCTCAAGTTTTCTGCAACCACGTAGGATGTTCAATGTTTATTCGCTAAAAAAAATTACCCTCTTCGACCCTTACGCATACATATATATACATATATGTACAATAAGCCAAACACGCGAGCGTGTGCTATTACGGGTGCGTGCACATATTTATTCACTTGGAGATAAATTATGGGTTGCCTCTCGGTTCACGCGAGCGGAGTTAATATGCCCATTCATCGTGCAGGCCCGCTTCGATACGTGTATATATACAATTGATGTACGCGCATGCATCATAGTTTGCGGATAGCGTGACATTTAGCCGGATCAATGGATCAGAGATCATTTAGACTCCCATCGGTATTGAATTCAGGGAAACGCCAAAGTCTGATGATTTTCTTTTTTTTTTCCACCTCCCATTCCCCGAATCACTCGAAAATTAGGTTTTTTCCCTAAAATTTGATAATTCACTCGTATACTATAGGTTATTATTTTTTTTTTTTTCCCTATACGCATTACAATGTTACAACGGGAGGTGTGCATGTAACAACTCACGCAACTGCGGCCAAATGTCGGTGAGGTTAGAGTTCCACAGGCTCATGTCGAACTCGTTGTCGGTGGGAAAGAGCACGGACTCCTGGAGCTTGTGGCGCTCGGCGTAGTCATCGTTGACCTCGTCGTAGCTCTTGCCGAGCTCGTGCTCGATAAACGGACAGCAGTGGTAGGCGTAGGACAACGCGAGGGTGCGTACACGGGGAAAGTACTCCGGGCCGGGGAACTCCCGCAAAAGCGGGTTGTTGAACGTCTTGAGGTGCAACAGACCCGAGAGTGCTTTAACCGGCAACTCGGGGAACACGTTGTTGCCGAGGTTCCTGCGGGAAAAAAAAAAAAAAAAAGATAACCCCTTCAAACTACAATTGGCACACAGAAAAAGGTACACAAATGGCATTTCGCTCACAAGTCCTCGAGCTGTTTTATGTGGACGAATGCCTCGGGGTGTATGAACTCTATGAGATTATCCTCCAGGTCTCTGGAAAGACATATTGGTATACGTTATAAACAAGTTGTGTCGCTGGTGTGAAACACGAAAAATATACTCACAGGATCAACAGCCGAGACAGGCCGAAGAACGCGTCTTCCGGAATAATTTTTATCTCATTCTTCGACATGAGGAGGTCGTGGAGGGCCGTCGAGTTGGAGAAGGGCCGGTCGGACAGCGAGCTGATCATGTTTAGGGCTAAATCTCTGACCGAGAGACGAAAGGACAATTTTCAATACAGGAGCACAAGGAAAATTTGTTAAAGAATGTATATATAAAAAAAAAAGGTATATTTAAACGAATGAGAAGACGGTCGCACATACGTACAAAACCCGAAGATCCCGGCAGTCTTTGAGATTCGGCACGGCAGTGAGTTTGTTCGACTTGAGATCCCTGGAACGAGGAAACGTGTAATTATATGTTTTTTTTTTTTTTTCTCTCTCTTCGCAAAGTCAATCTATGTGATACTTGCAGACTTTTGAGTTTGGGCGAGTGCTTGCAGAGCTCGTCGGGGACGCTGTCGATGCGCGCCCGATCGATCCGGAGTATCTCGAGGGACCGGCAGCCGTTCAGCGCAGGAAACTTGCTCAGCTCTTTTACGTTCGACAGGATTCTAGATTCGCCGGTTAAAGTGAGGTAAATTTTTTGCCTCGTCAGACTATTTTCGAATTCATTCATCGCGGGGTTTTTTTTTTTTTTTTTTTTAACTTGCACGTTATATACAGATGCATTTGAAAAAGTGCGAAAAATAAAATGGATAGAAGGGAAAATTTGATCATTTGAGAAAAGTATTATTAACAATAAATCGATATCATGTCCAAGACTCACAATTTACGCAGCTGCGTCAGGTGCTGGATGGCGAGCTCGTGGACCTCTTTTATCGGATTCCCGCGCAAATCCAGGGACAACAAGTTCCTCGCGTCTCTCAGGCTATCGTTGCGCACAATTTCGATCCTATTGTTCGACATGGACCTGAAAAATGTTTTTTTTCCTCTTTCACACTTTGCGTCCATTGAAATCACTGGAATGGTGTATCAAGCGTGTACTCACAGCTCCTCGAGGTCCCGCAAGCTCGACAGGGCCTTTGGAAACTCCGTCAAGTGGTTATCGTCGAGTTCCCTGTAAATTTTACAATTTTTTCTCAACCAAAAAAACAAATACGTACACGAATTTAACAACCAGAAAACACAAAAAATTTATCTGCCCACTTGCCCTTCCGTTGCCCAATAATGTCAAACCGATAAATCCGTCCCCCTTTTGCCGCCTCGTTCGCTCATCGAAAATCAATGTGACGCGATTTTCCGCGGCATCAGCTCTCTATCTCGTTTGAATAGTTTCACCCCCCCCCCCCTACGTGTATATATTCCCGGCAAAATAAAAGAGAGAGAGAAAAAAACGCACGTCACATCCAACACATATGCTTTCATACAAACTCGTATATACCCATGCTTTTCTAAGCGCGCGAAAACGATTCTTTTCTCTCGAAATCTAAAAAAAAAAAAAAATCTCTCTCTGCTGATAAGCGATTCAAGGTGTATGCATACACACACACACACACACACACACACACATATATATATACATGTATATACTTACAGAACAGCGAGCTTGGTAAGATCGTCGAAGGCGTTCTCGTGCACGTGGCTCAGACGATTGCGTCGCAGTAGCCTGAGAAAGGGAAAAAAAAAAAAAAAAAGAAAATGCACGGGAAAAATGTATTTTCATCCCTATATATTTTTACAAGTTGTAAACTCCTCCACGCCCCCCCCCCTCCAACTTATAAATATGAAATCACTCGCGCGTACAATTTGCGCTGTCAACGCGCGTATCTCTTATATACTTATATACGTACACCTCCACAACTTATATTTATTTCTCTCGAGAAATGGTTCTTTACGCGAGCGCATTACAATAAATTACCACACCTATACGCAGCTTAGTGGCTGTATAGACCGCGGCGTCCTCGCACTACTATATAT